GGCACATGTTCCCAGGAATGTCAAAGGGGAAAAAAAAAAGGTGCCTAAAAGCCTGCTTTTTTGGAAGGAGCCTGGGTATAAATAAATAAATGAAATCCATATAAAGGAAAAGATGAAAAAAGAAATCAAAGATGGAACCTTCGCGTTTGGCCTGCGGTGTAAGTGATGGGTTCTTTATGAGATGCTTTCAAGTGTTGATGTTTATGTGCTTGTAATTCCAGGCAGGAGAGGTGTTACTTCTTTTTTTTTTTTTTTAAGCCTTGCCCAGCCCTTGGGTGGGGTGGTGGAAAGGCAACGGGCTTTGGAAACACGCCCGTCTACCTCGATCTAGAAGATGCTCCAAGCTAACATTTATTGAGCACTTACTGTATGCCAGCAGCTGATGAAGTTTTGTATCTGTCTTTGAGGGGTGCCCCCGTTTCACAGATAGGAGCTGAGGCACAGGGCAAATAAGTAGCTTGCCCAGGCTCAGCTTGTCGGTGGTCGAGCTGGGATCTGAAACCAGTAGACCAGCTCCAGGGTTAGGAGCTGAGTTAGCACCAGTGTGGGTGGGCAGATGGTCCAGGAAAAAGAAGATGGGATGACTGTGTGGTGTGAGCTAGGCAGAGAGGAGCCTGGCGTGGGAAGGGGGCACCCAGGAGGGCTTCCTGGAGGAGGTTGTCAATAAGCTGAGGCTTGGAGGTGCGAAGGAGTCAGCTGGGCATACTGAGGTGCAAGACCATGTAGAAGCGGGTTCAGTGCTGACTTGGGGCTCACTGGGGGCTGCATATCAGGTGCCTTCACATGTGACAGTTGCCAGCCCAGCCAGGACCCGGTTGCTCCCTCACTTGTTAGGAGATACGATGAATGCATGTCATGGAAGGTGCCTGGCACGTAGTAGGTCCTCAGGAAGCATTAGTGGCCCTCTGTGCTTCCTGTGGATGGGTAGGAACGTGGATTGTACATTTACTGTGACCTGAGCTTGCAAACGGGTGGCCCTGGTTGGCCCACAGAATTGGAGTGATGTGCTTACATTATAATTTGGGAGATTCCACACTAAACCCACATTTGAACTTTTTTGAAATCTCTTAAGACCAGTGACTGCTGTCTGCATGACCCGGTCTGCCCCCTGCCCCCGGCTGTGTGAGGGGTGGCCATCCCCAAAGGGCAAATTGTGTTATCAAACACCCCCCGCCCCTTGGCTCTGTCTTCTGACCTGGGCTCCCTCCTTCCTCTCAACCTCCTGGCTTTCCCCCCAGCCCCGTGTGCCCCCCGTGCGGCCCGTGGGCCACAGCACCCCTGGGAGGTGGACTTGGGTGCAGTGGGAACCTTTGCCATCCATTTCCTCATGCCTGGCCATCAGGTTTTATGTGGACAAGGGCATCCCTCTCCAAACAATGGCGCATACTCAGGAAATTGGTGGGTCCTCAGCCTCCTGGCACCGGGCCCCGTCCGTTTGAAAGTCCACACCCATGGAGCACACCAGACGCTGGCTCTCCCGGGCCAGCAGATCTTTCTCCGTGACTCAAGGCAGCCGGCATTTCACATCTTTGAAGTGTTGGGCTTTCTGGCAAATGGACCAGTATGTTAAAAACCAGAACATTCCAGGGATTAACGGAAAGCCACTAAACTGGCAGAGTGGGGCCCTTGGGGAGAAGCCAGGGTTCGAGAGGAGCCTCTCCTTCCACATGTCAGACTGACCCTAGGAAGACAGTAATCAGATTTAGACAGAAAAGTCCTCAGGGATGGGGCCCGTGTTCTCTGGGGAACCCAGGCTGTGAGAAGTAGAGTCCCAAAGAACCCTCCGTGGTTCAGCATCAGTGTGGCTGCACTGCGGGCTTCCAGAGTCCAGGCTGTCTGATCTGTCACCGTATGCTTTGCAGAGTCCCAAAGTCCCTTCTCCAGATTCTTGCCATCTTTCAAGGCTTCATTCAAATGCTACTTCCTCCAGGAAGCCTTCCCTGGTTCTTCCCGGGGTGCAAGAGAGCCACGCCCTCCCCTTCTTCCTTCTTTCTTCTCTTTGTCCCTTTGTGGGAGCCTGTTTTCCTATCTCGGTTTCTCCCCTTCACAGAGGGTGAGCACATGCCCACCAGGGTTTCTGAACCAGGAGCTGAGCACTCATGGTCTCACTTAATTCTTAGGATTCCCTATGAGGCAGCTACTGCTGTCACCCCCATGTTACAGATGGGGAAACTGAGGCTTGGCAAGGTGAAGGGACCCCTCTAGGCCACGTGCCCGTGTGTGGTAAAGTTGGACTCACGCCCCTGGCTCTGTGGTCACCGACCTGGACTCATGACCAAGGGCCCGGTCCTTGCTTCCCTCAGAGCTTTGCACACAAGCTCCTTCGGAATGTGTGGTCTGTCGAGCCAGTGCCTGGGCGGTTCCGGGAGAGCATTTCTCATTTATTAAGATCAGGAAATCTCGGGTCCTGTTTAGTGTTATCTTTGATGTTCAAGGGCAGAGTGGAAATTTCTGTTTCCATGTGACCCCGTTTCTGTCTTTGAAAACGCTATTTCCTATCTCCCTGTGTCTTTGAGATCAGGCAGCAGGGCTCCCTGGGAGCATTTCCGCGTGTCCGCCCCTCCGCCCTCCTCCCCGTCGCTCCGGCCACGGCCTGTGTCCTGGGGAGCGGACGACCCGTGTGGCATCTTTCTGAGCCGAATTACCGGCTCGTTGTGGCTCACCCGCGCCACACCCGCCGCCTTTCCCTCTTTCCCAGGCCGTGAACGTGACTACACCCCCCGACCGCCTAGACCTGAAGGGACGCCCCTGGCCTGTCTGTCCTTCTGTGATGTCGGCCCAGGAAGTGGGACTTAGGCCTTCGGGGTCTCTGCATACACCCCACTCACCGGGCCAGGGGTGTGCTCCCCTTGTGTCCGCAGCTTCCGTGCAAGATCCCCTTTTTCCCCGCTTTCTTTTTTCTGCCTTCGGAAAAGCTTTTTACAGCCTAAGTTGCTGCTGGTAACGCATCAGCTCGTGGAAGCGATGGCTGAGATGCGGCTGCTGGCCTGGGAGCTGGCCGAGGCCCCCCCCGTGGGCATCTGCGGAGTGTGGCGGGGGGAGCCCAGTGAGGGCACGTCTTAAAACCCTACTCGTGCCTCGGCACGTGGGAAGGTGTGTCTCGCGCAGAGTTAAGCTAAGGGTGTGGGGACAAGAAGACGACTGTGCGTGTGGCCTGCTCTGGGGACGCACCACGGGGGTGTGCACCGCGGGCGACCGCGGGGATGGCGTCCAGCTTGCAGGCTGCGATGCTGTTGGCAGAGGGTCTGCTTTTTCTTTTGTTTGTTGTTGTGGTGGTGGTAAAACATATATAATGTAAAATGTATCATTTTAACCCCTCGTGGGCGGGTGCTTCCGTGGCATGAAGTCCACTCACGGGGTGGCGTGATCGCCCCTTCATCTCCTGAAGCTCTTCGTCGTCCTGCGCTGAAACTACATCCGCGTGAACATGAGGCTCCGCCTCCCCCCTCCCCACCTCCTGCCGTTTGACTGGATGTCTGAGGCTCTATGACTGTGGGTCCCTCACTGTGTCCCACCATGACCGTTCCACACGGCGTGCTGCCTGCGAGGGCACCCGCGTGGCAGCAGGTGTCGGGACAGCCTTCCCTTCCACAGCGAGCCGCGTTCTGTCCTGCGGGTGGATCGCATCTCGCGCGGTCACCCACCCGTCGGGGGGCTCTCGTGAGAGCCTCTTGCGAGTTGTGCTGCTCGGGGACGTGGGGATGCGAGAGTTCACTCTGTAGAAAGCCTCGTCTCGGGGCCTTCCCTGGTGAGAGATGAGGGCGTCCTCATGCGGGGCGGAGGGGCCGGCCGGCTACAGACCCCCTGGCTTCCTGGCTCTGGCCTGGAGACCTCACATTCACCATTTCGTCCTCCCGGGGGCCCTGTGGGGTGACTTGGGCTTGCTTGGGGTCGCACCGCTAGCAGAGTCGAGGGGAACTGTACCGCCTGCCTGCGCCAAAGCCATCGGGCAAAGCCATCGGGCCTGTGCCCTTGGTTACTCTTCAGATGCCCGGCATTGGCCGTGTGAGGGTTCGTGGTGACTGCGGTATTGGAAGAGGAAAGAGGTTTTCACGGGGGAGAACGGTTCGTGGTAGAGAAGGCCTGGGCACCCCGTTGACCCGGGACCACCGATGGGGCAGCCAGTCCGTGGCATGTGGTTGGGGACTGTGGCCCAGAGCTCTCAACCAGGACTGTCAAAAGCAGCAGGTGCCACAGGAAACGGGACAGGGTGAGGGTCCCGGTGGTGTCCCCTGACAGATGTGACTTGAGGCGTTTTCCTGCGGGGCGATGGTCCTTTCTGCCCCTGGCATCCGTGCTGTGCCTCTGAGCCCTGTGATGATCGAGTGCTGCCCTCACCCAACACACGTGCGCGCACACTCTCACACACACACACATACTCACACACACACGTGCGTGCGTGCGCGCACACACACACACACACCCCACAGGTTACGGCCTCCGGGTCAAGGTTTGTGAGATTCTGTTGCAGGCTCTGGTGTCCCAGCACTGGCCATGACCTGCTCTTGGGTGTCTGCTCCCTTGAACCTGACCGTCAACAACAGCCTCACTTTAAATTCAGGGCTTGCCTGTGTCCATGTTAGGTACAGCGTCCGCCCCCAGGTCCCCTGGCTGAGGACACAGCTCTCCACGGAGTGGTGGGGGGGGGGTGCCTTTTCAGGCCCTGTCGCTGGGATTCCAGCTTTGTCCATGTCAGCAGCCTTGGGCGGATCTGGAAGCATCCAGAAGCTTCTGTGTGTTAGCCCTGAATTCCAAAGGGCAGTGTAAACCGACTGGCCGGGCTTGGCGGGCACCGGGAGATACTTGGCGCCAGAGGGAGGAACTGCAGAACGTGGTCTGGGTTCAGAGCCTTCGTGCGCAGACTGTTTCTGGGCGACGGGCCATTTGGGAATGCTTGTTAAACGCTTACAGAGCAGGAGTCGATCCTGTGTGTTTCTGCTGCAGACACGCGAGGCCCCGCTACTCCGTTGACACTGACCCTTGTTTTCCTTTCTCCACAGTGAGCGACCTGCAGGAAGAAGGCAGACATGCCATCAACTCGCCGATGTCCCCCGCCTCGGCGGATGTCCACCCCGAAGACACGCTGTTAGGTACCGTGCGCTCTGCCGGGCCTCTGTCGTGACGCCGCTGAGCTCCCGCGGTTGGTGAGGCCGAGGAGGAGCTCCAGGGCGACGGCCTGGTGACCAAACATCACGCCAGGCGGCATCTGAGAGTCTGGGCTCTTAGCTCAAGGTCTTATTTAGAAAAGTAGGTAGGAAGGAAAACCCCATCTTCCTTTGTAAGTTTCTGCCTGTCTGATTTCCCACGTCCGTTGTGTTAGTCGTTACATCCGATGAGTCCGACAGATCCGGGGTTCAGCCCCATTGAAAATATGGTTTGTTATAAGCTCAGTTCCCGAGGTGGGGGTGGGCCAGCCTTGGGCCGGAGGCTGGAGGGAGGGAAGGGCATGGCCTGTCTTTTCTTGTGGGAGGGACTGGGTGGGGCAGGGTAGGCCGGTGTGGACTGGCTGGTTGGGATAATCTCTGAGGGCTCTGGGAGCTCTGCTGAGTCGGTGCGCTGGGCGGGGGTGGGGGGGTGTTGGGGGGAAATTAGGGCAGGGGCCTGTGGTCTGGGAGCGTGAGAGCCCCTGGAACACATGGCTGCTGGGGGTGGGCTCTGGGTTGGTTGACCTGCACATCAAGGGCAGTCACAGTGGAATTGTTGGCTGTCTTGGGAACTGGCCAACCCTGGGAGGGACAGTGTCTCCAGGTCCCCAGGCCCTGAGGTGTCAAAGAATTCAAAAATATAAGAAATAAGAAACGTAGTTAATACATCCTAATCTTGGCACAAGCCAGAGCTGTCCTGAGGCCGTGGGCTTGCTGGGTGGGACCCGGCAAGTGATGAAGGCCCTCTGTACCCAGCTCCTTGGGACCTCATCACAGCCAGCACTGATGAGGTGACAGCACGGACACATTTTCTTAAAGCGTGTTTTGGGATCTGGTCGGTCTGAAAGGCGGCTGTGGAACATTCCGCTTATTTCCAAACCCTGGTTCAAAGGGAAGCCACGGTTGGTCCCTCCTTTGTGGTTTCCGCGACAAGGCCAGGCCAGCAAGAGCTTGTGGAGAAATGCAGACGCAGGTTCAGCTTGGCGGACCTGAAGCCAAGTGCTGGGCGAGCTCCCTGAGATCCTGCTGGGGTCCACTGTGGTCCCTGTCTCTTCTCGGAAGAGGAGGACTCTTCGCTGTTACTGCTGCAGAGTCTGGCTGAAGTGCATGCTCCGGGGTGACCCTCTCTCAGGGGAAACTGGGGACTCACTTGCGGGTCTGGGAATTAGCCAGACATAGACCAGGAGGCTCCACCTCGGCCCTCTGGATATCTGGCACCGGGTAATTCTTTACTGTTGGAAGCTGTCCTGTGTCTCTTGGGGTTTGAGCATCCCCGACCTCTACCCACGAGATGCCACCGGTTGGGACAACCAAAAATGTCTCCAGACATGGCTACATGTCGCCTGGGGTGGTGGAAGGACACAGCGGCTCCTGTTGAGAACCCTGATTTAGACTAACAGGAGGGCTAAAAGGCTGGTCCTAGACACATGGCAGGCTCTCATTTTGTTGATAATGCCTTGAACTTGCCTTTCCCTGGGCCCGAACCCTCCCCATTTTGCCATCTTTATAAACAACTGCTCTCGGGCAGAGGGAGCTGGTGTCGTTCAGTTTGTTCCATAAGGTTCTGCTTATCCCTGAAGTCTGTGTGACCTTGAGAAGGACTGACCTGGTCAGCACCTGGAACTGAGATCTGAAAGGTGAAGGGAACGTGGAGTGGAGGAAAAGGGTATCAGACAGGGAGCAACATGTGCCAAGGCCCTGTGGCAGGCAGTGGTGAGGTTTGCCGAGGAGCAAGGGAAGGCTGGAAGGGCCAGAGAGTGGGGAGTGCCCGGGACAGCTGGGGGAGGCGAGGCTGCAGGGGGCCCTGGAGGCCACGTGGAAGGTGCTGACCTTGGTCCCAGGAGCACTGGGAGGCTGCTGAGGGCCTTAGCAAGGACATCACAAGGGACCCCCATATGGGGTTACCCCCTCAAGCGTCAGATCTGCATGACTTCAAAAAGTTTTCCACTTTGTCAGGTTTTAAAATTTGCTGTTGTGAAGTCAGTCTTGTCAAAGCCATTCTGTTTCCGAGCTCCGTGGGAGCCTGCCTGGGCCCCGGGAGACTGGTCCTCGCCACCTGTGTGTCCTGCGGGCCCACCCCATGCTGGGTCCTGAGGCCTCCCTCTCCCCATCCCCTGCGTGCCGTCCGCGGTGCCTCCCACACCCTCCCCTATGCAGGCACCGGCCAGTTTCCTGGATGGTGTCGGACCAGCGGGGGGGGGGGGTGCTTTCCCACGCTCTTCCTCTCTACCACGCCAGTCCCGCTGGAGCAGCTCGCTGGGCCCCACTGTCTGTGGATCGAGGCCTGAACATGAAGGGAAAATGGGTAACAAATAAACAGAACAGGGATGAACACATTTTACTGTGAACCGTCACCCATCCCCTCCTTTTTTGCTGTTTTTTCTGGTGTGTGCTATTTTACGTAGCGGGGAGCTTTCTCGGTGCGCGTATTTACTAACAGCGGCCGCGGGAACTTGTACCGCGGACCGATGCAGCCCGTGTGCGTGCCGTCCTCGCAGCGTGATCCCACCGAGAGAAGCCTGGCTTCTCCGCGCTCTGTCCCCCTCGCTTGACCGTCCCCCCAGCCCCGCCGCGCCGGCGAGTGCTAATCGGACTCTCTACCCTGGCAGAGGAGAACGAGGAGCGTATGATGATCGACCCCACCTCCAAGGATGACCCCAAGTTCAAGGAGCTGGTCAAGGTAAGGAGCGCCTCGGTCAGCGCCTTCCTGCTGGGCTGCGACGAGGGGTCAGGGAAGCCGTGACGGGAGGGCTGGGGGCCCCCGTGGTAATTCGGTGTGACAACGGCAGCTTCTGTCTCCTGAGCCTGGTTTCTGAGCCCCAGCTCCGCGGTGAGGCTTGACTGGTGGCGTCTGTGCGTGTCTGAGTGCTGATGGCGGTTCTCATTGTTCGATCTAAACCACGGTGGGGCTTCAGAGTTACTCCCCGCAATGGAGGAGCGAAGGCTCCGGTGTGGCCGCGTCCTCGCCCGGTGGGACCCAGCTCTGCGCCAGAGCTGGCACCTGTGGGAAAGCTGTCACTTCTGCAGCCCAGGGTGGACGCAGGAGACCCCCAGGCTCTGAGGACACTGTCTGTCACAGTCTGTGCCACCGACACTGGCCATTAGAAGTGCTTTTCAAAATGTTTCTCCACCTTAGCCGGCGCTGCTGGACGTGAGGCGGCGTGGAACCGTGTTCTCACAGGGGCTGACGACAGGAACGGGAAAGCCTTTGCCAAATTGTCTCCTGGTAAAAACTGACCTCATAAAGGCCCGTGTTAGGGTCCAGCCAAAAATGCTGGGGCTCCCTTGCTTTGCTCAGTCCGTCAGTCACATTCTAACCTCTTCCTGGAACGTCCTCGCAGACCCAGCTAGAGGGAACGTTGACTCCAGCGTCCAGGCCTTCCGTGGCGCAGTTGCGCGGACAGTTGGGATTGACGGCCACACACGCCTTTCGGCTTTCTCCTTCTTCAGTGTTGGAGCAAAGATGGAGAGTTCACGAGCATCACTTCCCTGAAACACCCCAGGGGAGCTGGTGCCGTCCTCACGTCCACATGAGGGCAGAGGGGAGAGCCCTCCCCCCGCCAGGTTATACCTGTTAGAGGCGTGTGTGGGCTGAATGGGTCTGGTCATCTGGGACCTTGTTCGTTCAGCCGGGGTCGAACACTGGGCACTGGGCCGGGCCCTGGGCATGCTGAGATGAGCGGAGTGCTCTCTTCCTGTGTGAGGTCTGCTTTGTGCTCCTGTCGGATTCACCTGACCCGACCGGGCTCTGTTGTGCCGCCATGACTTCTTCTTCTTTTTTTTTTTTTTTTAAAGATTTTATTTATTTATATGACAGACAGAGATCACAAGTAGACAGAGAGAGAGAGAGAGAGAGAGAGGAGGAAGCAGGCTCCCCGTTGAGCAGAGAGCCCTATGCGGGGCTCGATCCCAGGACCCTGAGATCATGACCTGAGCCAAAGGCAGAGGCTTAACCCACTGAGCTGCCCAGGTGCCCCTACCGCTGTGACTTCTAAGCCCACGGGGTGTTTTGGGCGCTGTGGGGTGAGGGCTGGTCAGGGGCTTGTCCTTCAGCAGCCCACGCAGAGGGGACCGCAGTATCTCTGCACCCGGGGCTGGCCCCGTGGGACCTGTGTGGCTGTGGCTCCCCAGCTCTTCCGGATTCTGGATTTGGCTGAAGGGCCATGCTGCAGGGGACGGAGTGTGCCAATTAGGGGGGCTGCAGCATGGGCAGGCCTGCACCCCATCAGACAATGTCAGCTGGAGGACCAGAAGGCACTGGAGACAGAGAGCCTCTCCCTTGCTTCCCCGCTGGGTGGCTGGGAGGGCCACGGCGCCACACTCGGGACGCTGCATGGCTGAGCACGGATGGGTTTTCTTCCCAAGTTGTGGTCAGCTCAGGGGTGCCCCTGCCTCATCTCCCTTCCCGCTCACTCTTGCTAGCTTGGGCTTGTCCCCAACCCCAGCAAGGGAGCAGCAGTGAGCTTGGCCCTGGGTGCTCTTTCTGGGGAACCCAGGGGTGGTGGACTGAGTCACGGCCCCCCAGGGTGTCCACGTAACTCTTACTACCTCCTGTGGCAGAAGGGACTCTGGGGACGTAATGCAGGGGTCTTGGTTTGGGAGATGACCCTGGGCCACTCCTCTTTGGGAGGCTGTCCTGCCAGCCTGCAGGACCTGTGCCAGGAGATGGACAGTTTCTGGAAGGTTCTGCCTGCTCCCAGACTGCAGGCAGCATCTGAGGCAGGCTGGTGGCCTATTTTTCACTTTATCACGCCTTTTCCAAGTGAGTGTGAACACGGCAAGCAGGACGGCGGTGCCGGGTTGGCCGGCTGGGGATCATTAGTCGCTGTGGTGGTGGGATGGAGGGGTGTGCGGGAGGTACTAGTTCTCACAGACTAGCGCGGGTGGGCGGTGGCTCCTAGGATGCCGGGGCTGGGCTTCGGCTGCCCCTGGTTCCCTCGTGTTTGCCGTGTGCGTGGGTTACTGGCTAGGGGGTCCCGGGCGTGCCCCTGAATCAGGGTCTGCTGCCGTCAGCACCAGCTTTTCCTCGCGGGGGGCGTAGCCAGTCCCCAGGCCACAGTGGCCTGTGCCCGGGGTGGGGGAGCCCAGCCCGCGTCACTTCCTGCCTTCCCTTTCGGCTCATCGTGGAGCCTGTGCCCACCCAGGTGTGAGGTGCCAGAGGCTGGCCCCCAAGCCCTACCCTCACTTCTGACGCTAGTTATAAGTTTGGGTCCCCAAATCGACCTGTGGGTTTGACACTAGACAGACCAGCAGAAGTCACCGAATGCTGCCACACTCGCTGTTCGGGTTCATCCCAGTGAAAGGACACAGGTGAAAATCAGCTGGGGGAGGGGGCACCCAGGGCGGGCCCAGGAGGGCACTGAATGTGGCGTTTCCAAATGTCTTCTGGTGGCATCGTGGACAGCGTCACTTACCGGCAGTGATATGACAGCGTTCCCTGAGCTTCGCTGGCCAGGGAAGGTCCCCAAGCCTCATGTCCAGAGTGTTTGCTGGGCTGCCACCCCGTTGGCATGACTGACTGTCCTGGGGACCAGCCTGTCTCCCGCCCTCCCCTGTGACGAATAGAGTGTGACCCAAAGCCCCAGCCTAAGCCAGGTTAGTCCTTTTTGGCCAGCCCCAGGCTGTTATGCAGCTGCTCCAGCAGGACGCTCCAGGGGCCCTGAGGCACAGGCCAGTCTGCACTCCGGGCAAGGTTAGGGTCTGCACCTGGCCAGTGCTCTTGTGGCCCCCAGCATGGAGAATGCTGTTCCACCTGTCCCTTTTCTCCTGATGTCCCCTCCGGAGACACCCCACCTTTGTGCCCTGACTGGTTTTCTCTCCCTGACTTCCCTGGCCTGGAACCGTGCACTTACTGGTCTCCTCCCTCTCCAATGGAAGCCTCTGCAGTGGCTGTCAGATTTCTCTCCCAGCTGACTCCGCAGGGTCCCGCGCCCAGGTCCCACCTGTAGGAAGAGGAGTGAGTGCGTCAGAATGGCTGAGGGACAAGGCAGGTCTTTTTGGCCCACCCCAGACCTGTGGAGTTGGAATCTTGGGAAAGGGGCTCTGGGAACCTGTGGCGAGGGTTGGGGCCCTTGTGAATTGGGTGCTGACACAGGGGGTTCCAGGAAACCCCCCCCGCCGCCTTGAGAAAGGGGACTGTGAATGGCCAGTCTTGGTGGTTCCAACAAAACACCTCCATGCACGTGACCTGCGTGGTTCTTACTGCTTTTCAGACCCACTCTCTGCACCGTGGACTCTGCTTGTCCACGCTGCTGTTGGTTCTTTGCAGGGATTCTGCTCCGAAAGGGTGTTTTCAGTGGGGAGCGTGGGCCACACGCCGGCTGAGCTGGTCACGGGTGAGATCAGTTGACACTGGCCACGTCCCAGTCTGGGCGCCCGAGGGGGCCATCTCTGAAGCAGCGCGGTCAGCGTCCTTGTTTTCTTGCTCTGTTCCCAGTCATCTGCTCTTTTTCGCCTCTTCTCTCGGCCCCCATCCTAACTCCCTCTGTAGACTTAGCCCCATGACCCCACTGCCGCAGGACTGTCACCGTTTACAATATTGCCAGCTACCCTCTGCTTCCCAGGAAAAAAGCACCTTGGCTTAGGCCACGCCGGGCATTACGAGTGAGACCGTTCATTCAGAAATTCTCTCCGAGGATCTCTTGTGCTTCCCGTGGCGTTAAGGGGTGAAGGGGCGAGGGGCGCTTGGAGTCTGGCTTCCTTGAATCAAATTCAGCGAAAGTGGGAAAAGCACGAGTGCCGTGGCAGGTACGGAGCTCGGAGCTCGAGCGCGGCCGAGGTGCCGTGGGCAGAGGGGCAGGGGCAGGTCTGATGTGGGAACTGGGCCGTGGGTGCGAGCGTCCTGCGGGTTCTGGAGGCTGGAAGACCTCCCGCAGCGCCCTCCCCGCTGGCGTTCTGGGCCCCAGGCCTTTGCTCTAGCATCCTCCAGAAGCTTCCTGGACCGCCCAAGGCCAAGCAGCTCGTGCGGCCCTGAGCGGTTTGCAGTATATGGATGAGAGAGTTGATGGTTTTAATGATCCTCGAAAGACGGCGTGGCAGTCCTCCTGCCTTCCAGAACCAAGAGCCAGAGGAAGAAGCCAGCGCGCTCAGAAGCACGCCGGGCCAAGGCGAGCTGACCGTGTCGTTAACCGGGGTGCACCGTCCTCCCTGTGAGCAGATTTCACATCTCATTTCCCAGTTTATTGGACAAGACTCTTCCTGGCTGTGCAGTTGTTTTCTTCCTTCCTGTGTCCCTGTGAAGAGAATCAGTTGCAGAAAAAATGATCCCCTGGGCGGAGGGCGGTGTGTTGGAGCTGAGCCGCGTGGACATGCCCCGGCGCTGCGTCCCGGCGTTTGCACCCGGCTGGGGCCGGCCCCCCTCCTGCTGCACCCTGGCCCGCGTCCGTGGAGGAAGCAGCCGGAGAGCCTGTTTGGAAGTGATTAAAACGTAACTGTCATAGCTTTGGGGAAGACAGGCCGCAGATCCTGATTATCCTTTGGGGGAATGAGAGGACAAGTAATTTTTTATTCTGCTTAAGGCAAGTCTGTGAAAAATACGAGCTGAGGGCATCGTCAGTGTAGGTCCTAGACGTTTGCGGCAGGATTTGGGGTTTGCAAATGAGTACGTCCAAGAAATAATGATTGGTACTATGTTGAAAAAGCCTTGCGAGAAACGGGATTAAGACGGGGGGAGCGGGGGAG